ACCAAAACAAGACAAGGATGCCAACTTTTAATACTTTTATTCAACATAACACTGAAAGTCCTGGCCAAAGTAATTAGACAAGAGAAAGAAATAAAGGGCATTCAGAATGGAAAGAAGTCAAATTAGCCTTATTAAAAAATGATATGATTTTATACCTAGAAAAAACCTAGACTTCACCAACAGCCTGTTAGAACTGATAAATTCAGTAAAGTTGCAGGATACAAAATCAACAAACAAAAATCAGTAGCATTTATATATGCCAACAGTGAACAATCTGAAAAAGAAATCAAGAAAGAAATCCCATTTACAATGGCTACAAAATAATGTAAAATACCTAGGAATCAATCTAACTAGAGAAGTGGAAGATCTATACAAGAAAAACTATAATATTTTTAAAGAAAGAAAATTGAAGAGAACACAAAAACATGGAAAGATATGCCATGCTTATGAACTGAAAGAATTAATATTGTTAAAATGACAGCACTATCCAAAGTAATTTACAGATTCAATGCAATCTCTATCAAAATGCCGATGGCATTCTTCACAGAAATAGAAAAAAAATACTGAAATGTATATGGAACCACACAAAAAAACCAAATAACCAAAACATTTCTGAGCAAAAAATAAAAAGCTGGAGACATCACAGGTACTTCAAAATTAACTACAAACTATCAAAACAGAATGGTACTGGCATAAAAATAGACACATAGACCAATGGAACAGAATAGAGACCACCAATATAAATCCATGCATTTATAGCCAATTCATTTTCAACAAATATACCAAGAACATACAATGGAGGAAAGGACAGTCTTTTTAATAAAAAGTGTTGGGAAAACTGTGTAATTCAATGTAGAAGAAGGAAACCAGATCCCTGTCTCTCACCGCACACACAAATCAAATCAAAATAAATTAAAGCCTTAAATGTAAGACATGAAATTACTAAAAGAAAATATTGGGTAAGTGTTTCAGGACGTTGATCTGGGCAAAATTTTTTTGTATAAAACCCAAAAAGCACAGACAACATAAGAGAAAATAGACAAATGGGATTACATGGAGCTAAAAAGCTTCTGTACAGTAAGGGAAACAATTATCAAGATGAAAAGACAACCTACAGAATGGGAGAAAATATTTGCAAACTATTTATCTAAAAATGAATTTAATAACCAGAGTATAGAAGAAGCTTAAACAACTCAATAGCAGAAAAAATATATATAATCTGATTTAAAAGTCAGCAAGAGATCTGAATAGACATTTCTTGAAAAAAGACAAATGGCTAATGGATTATAAAAATAATGTTCAACAACACTAATCATCAGAGAAATGCTAATTAAAACCACAATAAGATATCAATTCATCCCAATTAAAATGGTTTGTATCAAAAACACGGGTAACAATAGATGCTGGCAAAGATGTGGAGAAAGGGGAACCCTGTTGGTGGGAATATAAATATATAAATTTACACAGCCACCATGGAGAACAGTACGGGGGTTCCTCAAAAAACTACAAATAGAACTGCCATATGATCCAGAAAATCCACTGCTGGGAATATACCCAAAAGAAAGGAAATCGATATATTGAAGAGATATCTGCACTCTCATATTTATTGCAGCACTCTTCACAGTAGTCAAAATAGGTAATCAACCTAAATGCCTGTCAAAAAAGTTATACATATATATACAATGGAATATTATTTATCCATATAAAAACAATGAATTCCTGTCATTTGCAATAACATGGATGGAACTGGAGATCATTATGTTAAAGGAAACAAGCCAAGCACAGAAAAATGATTATCACATGTTCTTACTCATATGTGGGAGCTAAAAAGTGTATCTCATGAAGATAGAGAGTAAACAGGTGGTAACCAGAGGCCAGGAAAGGTAGAAAAAGAAGGGGGGATGAAGAAGAAGACAATAATATAAATGTTTTTATTACCACTGAACTGTAAAGATGGTAAAATTTATATGTATATTTTAACTCAAAAAATATTAAAACTATGTTAAATATTACATTATTTATTTATTCAACAGACTCTGCAAGATTTTTCTTGTTTGTCTAACTTTTAAATGCTATTTTAAGCTGGAATCAGGGCATAGAAAAAGTCTCTATCCTCATTAACATTACATTCTTATCTAATTAGATGAAGTAAAACTGTGAAAACAGCCTAATTTCCTATATGGTAGAAATGGTTAGATACATTATATGCATGTGATGAAATGCTAAGTAGCTATTAAACATAAAGTTTACCTACATGTATTAACTTGGAAAGTTCACCAAGATTTACAGTGAAGGATCTATATTGCTCTCCAGTGTGTAGCATATGGCTCCCCAAAAGACAGTAACTGGTATACAAATGAATAGTTTATAATGTTAATATTTGTTCAATTATCTTTGGGTATTTAGAATATAGTAATTTATTTTCTTAGTTATCTGTTCCATATTTTCAAATTGTTTACCATTACCATGCAGTATGTCGACACCTAATAAATGTATGTGAGTAAATGTTGACAATGTCACTTAATAATACTAGATACTATTACAAGTATTTTAATAACTATGACTTATTTTTAGGTATAAATAAAAAGCCTAATATTAACCTGGAAAAGCAATAATTTTGGAGATAATGAATTGAAGAGAACTTCACTGAAGAATATAAGCCCTTTTTTTCTAGGCCTTCTTTCTTTGTGGGCTTACCAAGCATCATCCTTCAAAGATACATAGGTGTGTGTGTGTGTGTGTGTGTGTGCGTGTGTGTGTGAATATTTGTTCATATTCTCCCAGTTAAAGGATTTTGTTCTTTATCAAAAAGAAGATTTCAAAATGTTTTCATTTTTCACATGGAACTGCTTTTAACCCTTTATTTTTAAAGGATAGATAAAAAAACATTTCCACCATCTCACATAGAATCAACTACACAATTTATTATAGTTTGATACTTAAAATTTGGAGAAAACACAGACTTTAATATGATAGGGACAATGAGAACACTGTAATAATAATCTTAATTGCAATAATTGCTAACACGAATTAAGATCTTAATATATTCTAGGACTCGTGCTTTCTACATAACATGCATTATTATCTCATTAATCCTTCAAGAAATGTTTTATGTAAAAACAACTATGATCCCCCATTCCACAGATTTAAAAAAAGGGTATATAGTGGTTTCATCTATAGCTAGTGAGTAGAACCCACTTACAAACCAAAGTCTGTCACGCTCCAAAGCCAATTATTGTAATCTCTGCTTTTTTGCACACATGAGGTATTTCAGAGTTTGAATTTTTGAGGTTGTTAATCTTTGATTGCTTAAAAATGATAAGAGTCTTCAGACAAGAAAGGGCATATGTCTCCCCTCCTGCCTATTTACCTAAAGATGTTCTTCCCCTACCCTTCCTGGACTCTGGTTACCACCAATTTACCCTCTTTCTTCCTGAGATCTCTTTTTAGATCCCACATGCAAGTGAGAACATGTGATACTCATTTTTCTGTGCTTGACTTATTTCCCTTAACATAATGGTCTCCAGTTCCACCCATGTTATAGAAGACTGCCACTATACATCCTGCCCACTTGAGTAGGTTCAGTATCTAGAAGACTTAACAGCACTAGGTCCAAGAGTTGGTATCCAGCACAAGGAAAAGGAGGAGGCAAAACTAAATAGAAGAAATAGGGAGCAGGCAATCCTCTTGAACAAGGAGTCAAGGAGCCTAGTCACAGCCTCAAGGAAAGCAGACAACATTTATTTTTACTTATTTATTCTTCCAGTTGTTGTATAAAATAATCTGTGGAATATAATATGTAGGTAAATATACACACATACGTATTAATGCACACTGTGTAAATCGCTTTCTAGCATTGTTACTTAACCTCTATACATGTCCACCTACTTATCTGTTAAATGGCAAAGATAACTACCTTAAAGTTGTATCATGTATATTGTAAGAGATAATTAATTCAACATGCTTAAATGGTACTCAGTATTATGTATGCACTTGATATTTGAAGAAACTTCTTCAGTCCCAGGAACATTCACATCTATGGATATTTAGGCTTTTGTACTAATGAAGCTAAAAATTTTATTAAAAATATAAAATAGTACAAGTTTTTTTGAACAATGGTGCAAACAAGTCATTTATCTTTCTATGTTGGATTGCTATGTCTGTGATAATTAAATTATTTAGATGTACTACACAATCTTAAAAAATGCAAAAAACAGTGACTCAAACTTAGTTAACATAGGAATCTACCACAAACTTTGTTCAACAGGTAAGGTCTTAGGGAAGGCACAGAAGTTTTCATTTTGAGATGCAATAGCACAAAGTCTTATTCTCTTATAATGAACTACAGAACAGTGAATAAATGCAATTGTTCTTCTTGAACGGATGCTTTCTCTCTTTTGTTAAATAGCTTGGAGCTAACAAAATGTCATTTCTTCACATTCTATAATTCGGTGCTTTCAGGGATTTAGATAGATCTTGACAAATACTATTAATTGGTGAAGTTTTACTACTGGTTCAAATTCTGTGCTATTACCTTCAGTATTTAATAACCGTAACTTTGAGGGGTTTGAACTATACTTGTAGTTTAAATAGTAAAATTGTTTTATATAACTGATATATTAGTAGTTTGAAAAGGTCATATTCGACGGGGCGTGGTGGCTCACGCCTGTAATCCCAGCACTTTGGGAGGCCAAGGCGGGCGTATCACAATGTCAGAAGTTCAAGACCAGCCTGGCCAAGATGGTAAAACCCCATCTCTACTAAAAACACAAAAAATTTAGCTGGGGGTGGTGGCGTGCACCTGTAGTCCCAGCTACTCAGGAGGCTGAGGCAGAGAACTGCTTGAACCCGGGAGGCGGAGCTTGCAGTGAGCCAGGATGGTGCCACTGCACTCCAGCCTGGGCGACAGAGCGAGATTCCGTCAAAAAAAAAAAACAAAAAACAAAAACAAAAACAAAAAACTCATATTAGGTCTTTCGGCCAGGTTTGGACGCGTCGCCATGGGCCGCATGATCTGAGGACAGTGGAAGGGTGCCAGGTCTGCGTTCCCCGCCCAGGTGAAGCACCACCAGGGCATCGCGCGCCTGCACGCCATGGACTTCCCCCAGCTGCTACAAGAGCACAGTGAAGGACGCTATCCACTACCCGGGCTGCGGTGCACCCCTCGCCAAGGTGGTCTTCCGGGATTTGTACCGGTTTAAGAAGTGGAAGGAGCTGTTCATTGCTGCTGAGGGTATTCACATGGGTCAGTGTGTGTATTGCAGCAAGAAGGTCCAGCTCAACATTGGCAGTGTAGACACCATGCCTGAGGGTACGACCGTGTGCTGCTTGAAGGCCAAGCCTGAAGACTGTGGCAAGCTGGCCCGGGCATCAGGGAACGATGCCTCCATTATCTTCCACAACCCTGAGACCCAGAAGACCCATGAAGCTGCCCTCTGGCTCCAAGAAGGTTATCTCCTCAGCCAACAGAGCTGCGGGTGGTGTAGTGGCCACAGGTGGCCGAATTGACATAAGCCATCTTGAAGGCTGGCCGGGCCCACCACAAATATAAGGCAAAGAGAAACCGCTGGCCACGAGTACGGGGTGTGGCCATGAACCTTGTGGAGCATCGTTTCAGAGGTGGCAAACACCAGCACATCGGCAAGCCCTCCACCATCCGCAGAGATGCCCCTGCTGGCCACAAAGTGGGTCGCATTGCTGCCCGCCAGACTGGACGTCTCCGGGGAGCTGAGACTGTGCAGGAGAAAGAGAACTAGTGATGAGGCGCTCAATAAAGTTTGTCCTTCTGCCACCAAAAAATAAATAAATAAATAAAAATAAAAGATAATATTCATTCCTAATTCTCTTAAATGTGTTTCCACAATTGAAAGAGATGTATTATGAGTTTTTTGTTATATAAATATAAGATTATTGTAAAATAGTTAAGTGGTACATAAAAAGGTGAAGAAAGGATTATATATCACCTAAAATCCCACCAACCTGAGATCAAAAACATAAGCAATTTAGTAGCCATATGTTTGTGCATTTCTCTATCAATATAAATCTATACACACATATGTAGTTGTGTGTGTATATAAACATACATATACATAATTTTATATTAAAAATCAATCATATTGTGTATGTTATTTTACTTTGAATTTTTGTAAGTGCTGTCTTTTGTGGGACATTTGCTTGTCTCTCTTCTTTCCCTCTAGTCCTCCACTCTATCTCTATACATTCCCAATATTACATCTCCCTCCGTCACTGTGTAACCAATTCATAATGTGGTGTTTATCTTTCTCATAAGCACATTTATCAATTTACCATTGTTTATTTTACAAAAGCATAATCATCTTACATGCAACTCTTTCACATCTTTCTTTTTTCCAACATATATATGATATATATATATCTCATTCATTATATATTTATCTCTCTCATTCATTTTATATATATATATATATATGTATAATTCATTCATTCTTTGGAATCCCAACTTATCACTTAGTAGCAGTGACTTGGGACAAATTATTTTGTTTCTGAGTTTTTATCTGTAATATGGGCATAATTATTGTAACTATTTCCTTGGGTTGTTATTAAGCACAATATATTAGTCTGTATAAAATGCTTAGAACCACATCTTACTCAAAGTAAGAGCCATGGAAGCATTAGCTATTATTTATAATAGGTGCAGAATATTTTTTCATGGTATAGATGTAAAAAATATATTTAACCAGAAAGCCCCTAATTAAATAATGGATCTAAACAATGATCATCAATGGATACTAAACTCTTTGGATGAACAGTGGCGGGTTGATTAGACAGACAAAACCTGAATTAATTCAATAATGTTAAAGAAAAAAGTGGTACAACTGCATATTATTTGCCTACAGAGGTGATAAAATAGGAAGTATTTAGCACCATCTATGAAACATTGTTATCCAAGAATCATAGAAACTTATTTTTGCTTATAATCTCCTTATGTGTAAAAGCTAGCATTCTCCAAGCCTTGGCATTAAAAAGGACCTTTATCGCCCGTTTGGCTATTTCTGCTGGAGAAGGAGACAAGCATATTTTTCTAGGAACACTCATTTTCCTCCTGGAGATTTGTTGATCTCTGTAGGGCAAGCTCCTTTCAGGATTCACAGAATTTTTATCGGCACCTCGTAGTTCTCCATTACTGGTCTCTGAAGGCATCCCTAAGAGCAGAAGGGGAAAAGGTATTCCTTTTCTCTCCATCTGTTCTTGGAAGAACCAACGCCTTGTTCCTACCCTCTAGACCCCTGTGAGCTGGTCCAACAGCTGCTTGGCTCAGGAAAGACAGTTTGTCATTGATTTGGACTGGAGGGTAATATTCAAGCCACCATCTTCATAAATGAAAGCCTTTACTATTGACTAGGTCCAGTCGCTCACACCTGTAATTTCAGCACTTTGGGATGTCAGGGCAGGAGGATCACTTGAGGCCAGGAGTTTGAGACCAGCCTAGGCATCATAGCACGACCCCATCTCTACTAAAAATCAGAAAAATTAGCCGAGTGTGGTAGTGCATGCCTGTAGTCCCAGCTACAAAGGAGGCTGAGGCAAGAGGATCACTTAATCTCAGGAGTCTGAGGCTGCAGTGAGCTGTGATTGCACTGCTGAACTCCAGCCTGGGCAACAGAGCAAGACACTGTCTCAAAACAAACGAACAAAACCACTACAAATAACAACAACAACAAAAAAGACTTTACTATATATTTCAAAAAACAAAGTGATTTTCATAAAGTACACAGATTTTACGCAGAAAAAGGAAGGTAACACTCAGATGAAATTACATCATTGAGTCATAAAGGAAAAGAGCTATCATCCCATTAGAGGAAACGCGTATTGACTGAAGAAGGACAAGATAATATTTTACACTTTGGGAACTTCAACAACTAAAAAGGAAAAGAGAAATAAATATAAGTAATTAAAAATTAAAAAGAGTGCAGAATCGCCATACTTTTAGTCTGTCTTTCTTCTATGGGAAGATTCTAACATTGTTGAGTATGCAGGTAAAAGAGAATGGAGTTGGCACCTGGAATTTTTCCTTCTGTGTCCTCCAAGGAGTGTAGCATTATATATGTACCTTGCCATAAAATAAATATCACCATAAGAGAGGAAGTCAAACATAAATGCTGTGCAAATTCTAGCAGACCTGCTTTATGTCTGTTCATTTCTGGAGATGTCCAGATACAACTTGTATGGTATTTTTTCTTTTTTCTGAAAATCAGAACTATATTTTTAAAATTTATAATAACCAGTTGAGCAACAATGATACTTTCCATAAGAACCATTTTTACCCTGTTGTAATAAGGTTGGTATGCATGGAGTGCAGGGCAGCAGAGCAGCCACAGGCAGAATACATGGGACTGTTATGAAGCAGGAAAAGTTTCCCTTAGGAAAGAACTATGCCTTTAACAGCGCGACCTAATAGAAGAGCTCCAGACATAAAAATTCAGCCTTCCCAAAGCATGAAACTTTCATTCTTCTGCAACTGCCATGGTAAGAATAACTCCAGAGAGACTGTAAAGGAATAGTGCTGTTGTCATTATCATTCCTGTGTAAAGAAAAAAATATATATGTCTAAAGGTGTTTATTTTTCCATTTTATTGGGGGTCTTTGCTTGGAAACTTTTAAGTATGATCTTATGACTGCTTCTAAATAATACACCTGCTATAATATAGTAAATGCTCAATTTGTGTTACTCAATTCAGCTCTACTTAAATTATTTTCTTATAAAAGTTCAGAAGATCATCTACTTATGACTTGATAGTACCTGCAGGGTGCTATGACACATGTGTGAACCAATAGCAATGCAGTAAAATTTCATGAAACGATGGTTAATAAACTCGGCCCTGATGAGTACTCACATGTTAAGTGACATTTCGCCTACTATGTTGGGGATATAGTTGTTAGACTTTAGATCTGAAGAAATCTCCAGAGACTTTCAGGTTTATACCCTTCTCTTCAAATATTTCAATACCATTCAAGACTGACAGTTGTTTGTTTTCTTCATAAAGATGTTGCAGGACAGAGATTCCACAATTTTTAAGATTTTTATCATTCCACTTACAAAGTTGCTTGCAGTTATCCCTCTAAAAATTTTATATTAATAATATTATTTCAAAACTGTAGGATTTTTATTTTCTGGAAGAACTGGGACATAAAATGAAGAAGCTGAATCCTTAAAAGAGTGAGTAGGATTAAAATTCCATCTTCTGATTGCCAACTCATTCTTTCCAGTATAATATGCCATCTCAAAAGTGAACAAAAATATCACAATAGTATTTTAAAATACCTTCATCCATTACTAGGCAGAGTGATTTTGTCTTTTAATTTTTATATCCTTACTTCTATCACCTTGTAGGCACAATATAAGAAAGGAATAAGAACCCATGTAAATGTAACACAATTTTTTAAAAAAGAAATACTGTAATTGGTTAATAAATTCTCACAAGTTAAGAGAAATTTGTTTAAGCCAGATCATTTTACTCATAGGTAAAATGAAGAAATTAAACTAGAGGATTTGTAAGATACCTTTCCATTAAAAGGTTTTAGAACATGTCTTGCCAAAATATACCATTTTGGGGTATTATTTTGAGCTAAAAGAAATTGAGGACCAACAAACACAGTTGTTAAATCAAGTTTAGCCTAAAGCTGCCTGCTTACCTATTTTAGGTTCAGCCTAAAGACCTGGGTACATAGGTAACTATAGCTTAAATGGAGGTGTAAACAGATTGTAATGTACTTTTGTGTCAATCATCAAGTTTTGACCAATCAACAGGGGTCTATTGTTCAAAACATATTCAAAAAAGGCAAATACCAAGTTGTAACCAATTTGGCTATTTCTGTACCTTACTTCTGCTCTCTGTACCTTGCTTTCCTTTTTCCCTCTAAAAATTTTCCTCCACCATGTGGCTGAACTGGAGTCTCTCTGAACCTACTTTCACCTGAAAGGCTTTCCGATTTGCAATGTCTTTGCTCAGTTAAACTCTGTTAAATTTAATTTGTTTAAGGTTTTTCTTTTAACACAAGAAAAGCTCTTTACTTGCCCCTCAACTTACTGAAGTATAAATTTTACGTTTTGTAAAAATAAATTTAGTTTATAGAGGAAATTTTCATTAGTAAAGAAAATTTTCATTAGTAAATCTGTACCAGGAAGAGAGCTACTCATCAGCTGAGAGATTTTTATCTGCCCAACAGGCAATCTTCATTCACCCTACATTTCCTCCCTCCCCTTACCTTCCCATAATTTATCTCCCCACTTCCCTGTTTTAAAAGTCTCAGTTATCTAAACTTCCTTAAGTCTCATATTTCTGTAGGACCCATGTGCATACATATATAATTAAAATTGCTTTTTCCTGTTAATCTGTTTTATGCCAGTTTAATCCAGAAACCAGCCAAGAACTCAGAAGAATAGAAGGAACCAATTTTTTTCCTCCCTTGCACCATTTTAACACTGCTTGAACCAATTCAATTTTGTTTCATGAAAGCTTTCCTTGTGCTTTCCATGCTAACATTATCACCATATTCACCATGAAAGCATGTAGGACTTTGGGGTGGAACTGGAAGGAAAAAAGATTAATTTTCTCTCTACCCTTTATTGTTCTTAATGAGGACAGACCTCAGTCATGAAAGACAGATTAATTACAGGAAAACAGTTTATTGACATGTATACCTCATATACCTCATATAGACATAGGAGATACTCAGAGAAATGAGTAAATATAAGAAAGACAGTTTTGAAATCAGGCTTAAATACCATTTTTAGTTAGAACAGAG